TTCCTTGTTCTCGTTGGCTGATTGGCACCGGCAGCAGAAGCAGCAGAAAAAAGGTTCTGGAGATGTTTATGGCCATCATTCAATTATTTCATCATAATTCTGTTGGCCACTATCACAAAAAGAACTAAATGGCAAATTTCATCCTAAAGCTACATCCTATCGGTGCTTTGGCCCTGTATTTTGATGATGCTGCCCAAAGAAGATGAAGAAGAGCAAGAAAAAAATCTCATCTCTGTTGCTTCAGAGAGTTAGGGTCACACAGAGACGGGATGCTGAACATTTCCTGCAGTTATTGAAACTCTTTTTTTTGGGGGAGACTGTCTTGTTTATGACGTTAGTTTATCTTTGTTATTCAGGGACGTGGGCAAGAGTGTATTCAAGGGGTTGAAAAATTGGAATTTTGATAAAGAAGTCTCTAAATGGAGATTTTTATGGATCTTCAGGCCTTCTATATGGACAACACTTCTTCTCTTCGGAAAAGGCCTTATGCAGGTCTTCTTATCGGAGAGGACCTCCTAAAGGTCTTTTATTCAAGAGCACCGAAAGAGGAAGAAGGTATTTTATTTAGAGAAGACCTAATCCTTATATTCACAGAAGACCTTCTATTCATTCTATTCAAAGCAAACCTCCTCAAGGTCTTCTTTTCGAAGAAGACCTGATGACGGACTTCTATACAGAGAAGACTTCCTGAAGGTTTTCTATTCAGAGAAGACCTACACAATGTCTTATATTCGAAGAGGACCTGCTGAAGGTCCTTTATTCAGAGAAGACCTCCTCACGATGAAAAGAAAAAAGGACCTCCTCGAGGTCTTCTTCTATTCGAAGAGGACCTCCTCGTGAAGGTCTTCTTCCATTCGAAGAGGACCTTCTCGTGAAGATCTTCTTCCATTCAAAAAGGACCTCCTCATGAAGATCTTCTATACGAAGAGGACCTCCTCGTGAAGGTCTTCTTCTATTCGAAGAGGACATCCTCGTGAAGGTCTTCTTCTATTCAAAGTGGACATCCTCGTGAAGGTCTTCTTCTATTCGAAGAGGACCTCCTCGTGAAGGTCTTCTTCCATTCGAAGAGGACCTCCTCGTGAAGGTCTTCTTCCATTCGAAGAGACCTTCTAGTGAAGATCTTATTCCATTCGAAAAGGACCTCCTCGTGAAGGTCTTCTTCCATTCGAAGAGACCTTCTAGTGAAAATCTTATTCCATTCGAAAAGGACCTCCTCGTGAAGGTCTTCTTCTTCTATACGAAGAAGAGGACCTCCTCGTGAAGGTCTTCTTCTTCTATATGAAGAAGAGGACCTCCTCGTGAAGGTCTTCTTCTTCTATATGAAGAAGAGGACCTCCTCGTGAAGGTCTTCTTCTTCTATACGAAGAAGAGGACCTCCTCGTGAAGGTCTTCTTCTTCTATACGAAGAAGAGGACCTCCTCGTGAAGGTCTTCTTCTTCTATACGAAGAAGAGGACCTCCTCGCGAAGGTCTTCTTCTTCTATATACGAAGAAGAGGACCTCCTCGTGAAGGTCTTCTTCTTCTATACGAAGAAGAAGACCTCCTCGTGAAGGTCTTCTTCTTCTATACGAAGAAGAGGACCTCCTCGTGAAGGTCTTCTTCTTCTATACGAAGAAGAGGACCTCCTCGTGAAGGTCTTCTTCTTCTATACGAAGAAGAGGACCTCCTCGTGAAGGTCTTCTTCTTCTATACGAAGAAGAGGACCTCCTCGTGAAGGTCTTCTTCTTCTATACGAAGAAGAGGACCTCCTCGTGAAGGTCTTCTTCTTCTATACGAAGAAGAGGACCTCCTCGTGAAGGTCTTCTTCTTCTATACGAAGAAGAGGACCTCCTCGTGAAGGTCTTCTTCTTCTATACGAAGAAGAGGACCTCCTCGTGAAGGTCTTCTTCTTCTATACGAAGAAGAGGACCTCCTCGTGAAGGTCTTCTTCTTCTATACGAAGAAGAGGACCTCCACGAGGTCTTCTTCTTCTATTCGAAGAGGACCTCATCGAGGTCTTCTTTGTCTATTCGAAGACTAGGACCTCCTCGAGGTCTTCTTCTTCCATACGAAGACTAGGATCTCCTCGAGGTCTTCTTCTTCCATACGAAGACTAGGACCTCCTCGAGGTCTTCTTCTTCTATACGAAGACGAGGACCTCCTTGAGGTCTTCTTCTTCTATACGAAGACGAGGACCTCCTTGAGGTCTTCTTCTTCTATACGAAGACGAGGACCTCCTTGAGGTCTTCTTCTTCTATACGAAGACGAGGACCTCCTTGAGGTCTTCTTCTTCTATACGAAGACGAGGACCTCCTTGAGGTCTTCTTCTTCTATACGAAGACGAGGACCTCCTTGAGGTCTTCTTCTTCTATACGAAGACGAGGACCTCCTTGAGGTCTTCTTCTTCTATACGAAGACGAGGACCTCCTTGAGGTCTTCTTCTTCTATACGAAGACGAGGACCTCCTTGAGGTCTTCTTCTTCTATACGAAGACGAGGACCTCCTTGAGGTCTTCTTCTTCTATACGAAGACGAGGACCTCCTTGAGGTCTTCTTCTTCTATACGAAGACGAGGACCTCCTTGAGGTCTTCTTCTTCTATACGAAGACGAGGACCTCCTTGAGGTCTTCTTCTTCTATACGAAGACGAGGACCTCCTTGAGGTCTTCTTCTTCTATACGAAGACGAGGACCTCCTTGAGGTCTTCTTCTTCTATACGAAGACGAGGACCTCCTTGAGGTCTTCTTCTTCTATACGAAGACGAGGACCTCCTTGAGGTCTTCTTCTTCTATACGAAGACGAGGACCTCCTTGAGGTCTTCTTCTTCTATACGAAGACGAGGACCTCCTCGAGGTCTTCTTCTTCTATACGAAGACGAGGACCTCCTCGAGGTCTTCTTCTTCTATACGAAGACGAGGACCTCCTCGAGGTCTTCTTCTTCTATACGAAGACGAGGACCTCCTCGAGGTCGTCTTCTTCTATACGAAGACGAGGACATCCTCGAGGTCGTCTTCTTCTATACGAAGACGAGGACCTCCTCGAGGTCGTCTTCTTCTATACGAAGACGAGGACCTCCTCGAGGTCGTCTTCTTCTATACGAAGACGAGGACCTCCTCGAGGTCGTCTTCTTCTATACGAAGACGAGGACCTCCTCGAGGTCGTCTTCTTCTATACGAAGACGAGGACCTCCTCGAGGTCGTCTTCTTCTATACGAAGACGAGGACCTCCTCGAGGTCGTCTTCTTCTATACGAAGACGAGGACCTCCTCGAGGTCGTCTTCTTCTATACGAAGACGAGGACCTCCTCGAGGTCGTCTTCTTCTATACGAAGACGAGGACCTCCTCGAGGTCGTCTTCTTCTATACGAAGACGAGGACCTCCTCGAGGTCTTCTTCTTCTATACGAAGACGAGGACCTCCTCGAGGTCTTCTTCTTCTATACGAAGACGAGGACCTCCTCGAGGTCTTCTTCTTCTATACGAAGACGAGGACCTCCTCGAGGTCTTCTTCTTCTATACGAAGACGAGGACCTCCTCGAGGTCTTCTTCTTCTATACGAAGACAAGGACCTCCTCGAGGTCTTCTTCTTCTCTACGAAGAAGATGACCTCCTCGAGTTCTTCTTCTTCTCTACGAAGAAGAGGACCTCCTCGAGTTCTTCTTCTCTACGAAGAAGAGGACCTCCTCGAGTTCTTCTTCTTCTCTACGAAGAAGAGGACTTCCTCGAGTTCTTCTTCTTCTCTACGAAGAAGATGACCTCCTTGAGTTCTTCTTCTCTACGAAGAAGATGACCTCCTTGAGTTCTTCTTCTCTACGAAGAAGAGGACCTCCTCGAGTTCTTCTTCTTCTCTACGAAGAAGATGACCTCCTCGAGTTTTTCTTCTTCTCTACGAAGAAGAGGACCTCCTCGAGTTCTTCTTCTTCTCTACGAAGAAGAGGACCTCCTCGAGTTTTCTCTTCTTCTCTACGAAGAAGAGGACCTCCTCGAGTTCTTCTTCTTCTCTACGAAGAAGAGGACCTCCTCGAGTTCTTTTTCTTCTCTACGAAGAAGAGGACCTCCTCGAGTTCTTTTTCTTCTCTACGAAGAAGAGGACTTTCTCGAGGTATTTTTGTGTGTGGAAAGTTTCTAAATATCTACTGTGTCTCCTGACTTTCTTTCACTTTTTTCTCTCTCTCTCTCTCTCTCTTTTTGCACTCTCCTTACGTCCCTTGGGCTACCACGTCACTGACCCATTGGTAAACATATTATTTTAACATTTTGTCAGAACACGGTAAAGGTAAGGTTAACTGCAACAACAACAACACGACAAAGAAGAAGAAACTGACTGAAGAAAAAATTAAAACTGTTTCCCACACTTTTTTGGGACTAACTTCATGGACAGACGGACCCTAAAGACATGCAGACAGACGGACGGACGAACACCGGTGGAAGTATGAAAGAGAGTTTCATGGGATATTTTTTCCCAGCGTTTTGTTGTTATGCTGTTGTTGCTGCTGCTGCTTGTGGAACGATGACAGCCATCGATGTGTGTGCTACCTGCATTCCGGTGCTGGTGCTGTTGTTGGCTTGGCACGGTTGCACACAGCTGTAGTGTGGTTGTTGTTGTTGGTATTGCCCTTACAGGTTATTTGAGGCGACTCTTAAGCCAAAAACCATGGGAAATGTACACATCACCTAGCAGCGAAGCAATCGACCAGCCAGCCAGCCAAGCGATCGGCCATCCATCCAAGTGGCTGGCTGGCGGTGGTGGTGGTAGTGATTCCTGTTAGAATGTGCATGCCACTGATGATGATGATGGCGATGGGAAGTGAGTGCAGTTTCTTTCTCACAGTTTGCCACAGGGCCATCGGCACCAACCAACCAACCACCACTGCTGCTTCTGCTGAGCCATGCCACTTCTGCTCATGGGTACGTGTCCGTTTCTTTGGCGAGTGAGTGAGCGAGTGCGGCTCTGTGTGTGTGTGTGCGATCTTGGTTTGTGGGTATTTTTTTGATCGACACAGGTCGTCATATAAAATTAAGCGTGCTCACCAAAGCAGCATCAGTTCATCGCCAACTTTCACAGCGTCAACATCGCTCACCCAAAAAGAAGCACAAAAGAAAACAAAACAAGGAATACGACACAATTTCTCTACGCCAAATACGGAAACGTAGAACACCAAAATATTAGAAAGTTTAAGGCCCACACATCCGACACATCCACCTCACCATGTATACGGACACAAAAAATCTGGCAAATCTTTGCATCAATCAATCAAATTCCGCCATGAAGCTGTCAAATCACCAACAACAGCAGCAATTACTGCTGCAGGAACAACAACAAAGTGACAAGTTCAAACTGAAGAAAATGTGGAAGCCCATTTTGCGGCTAATGGCCCTTAAATCGGCAAATTCGGCATCGAAGAGCAATCGTTCCCTGCCCAATAATGTCAATCTCAATAATGCCCAGATCTGCCACAGTACACCCAAGGATTTGTTGTTCAGTGCGGAGCAAGAGCAGAGGCTCCAGGAAGCAGTAGAAGAAAAATTTCCCGAAATTTTGCAAGAAACGGAAGTAAAAGAAATCAGCAACACCACCTCCCCCGTTTACCACCCAAAAGTTGGCAGCAATGCCAAGGAAACCCAGGAATTCATTAGCCGTGTCAGTGTTGACAAGACCCCACTGAATTGCTGCAGCACCAACTGCGTCTATGGACGTAACTGTCAACACTCGCAATATCACCAAATGGAACAAAATACTACCTCATCCATCAACCACAACACTGCCACCACCCCCTCCACCCAACTCCAACGCCAGAACCTCCTGCTCGATGAAGATTTCAATTTCATCAATGCCGAAGATGGTTGCTTCGTTTGGTCCAACACCCCCAGCGGCGACATCGACGAACAGCTGTTGCGCGACTGGTATTGGCACAACTCATGGCAGTTTGCCGAAAATGCAACCATGTGTTAGACGTCAACAGAGCTGCATTTGCCACCGCACCGACATGCAAATGCAACCTTGTGTTGACATCCTTACCCCCGGGAGCGTTGCCAAAAGTTTTTCAAATTAAAGAGTGGATCTCAAGCTGTTAAATAATTTTATTATAGCATTCTTTTTTTTAATTTTTAATTTTTACTACATTAGTAAAATTTAACCTTAATTTTTTTATAGATTTGTAATTGTTAAAAATACTTTTTTTTTTAATTTTATTTTTTTTTAACTGTAAAATATGCAATATTTTAATATTATTTGTGATAATGTTATCAATTGAGAGTGAGAATATTTGTAACAAAAAAAAAGACATGAAAAGAAGAGAAGACAAACACAAAACCCAGTGCAAAACAAAAAGAAGACAAAAAACAAGAATCCAAACCACAAAGAAGAAGAAAAAAATAAACAAAAGAAAATAGAAAATATTCTAATTTCATAAAACATAAATTTTTATGGGTCTATTTTTTTATAAAACAAAGGGGGATTAAAGCTATGGGCTATTCAGGCCGAATAATGGGAAAGCTTTAAAAATACTTTTTTTTAGAAAGAAGTCCATAACAGATTTTGTCGCAATTAAAGAAGTTTTGTTGGAAACTTGAATGTTCGACGAAACAAAAGGCTTATGGAAAGTCGTGGCCATTAATATTCTTGACATGGGAGAGCAGATCTGTCATTTTATGTAAATTTCGTTCCCAAATGGTTTTGAATAGGTTTTGAAACGATGTGCTGACAGGTCTTCTAGACGTCTCAAATGTCACACAAATATCTCAAAGGTCTTCCTTCTCTCATCAATAGAAGCAGTTCGATCTATATGTGTGACCTCATGGGTGTTCTCATTATAAAAAAGCTTTAGTAAACCTTTTCTAGCTATGGAACCCATACTAGGGGCCTATACCTACTGTTTTTATACCCTCCACCATACTATGGAGGTTATATTAACTTTGTCATTCCGTTTGTAACACCTCGAAATTCTCATGTCAGACCCAACAAAGTGTATATATTCTTGATCAGCGTAAAGTCGATTTAGCGATGTCCGTCAGTCTGTCTGTCTGTCTGTTGTAATCACGCTATCTTTCGAACGAATTGAGATAGAAGGCTAAAATTTTGCACACCTGTTTATTTTTCCAGTAGGCAGGTTAAGTTCGTAAATGGGCCATATAGGTCCACGTTTTGGTATAGCCCCCATATAACAGTACCTCCCGATATTCGGTATGTTTGTTGTTGTTTCACATTGGTATTTCAAGTTCGAAATGGATACTACAGCTTATGACAGAAAATTATCTGGGCAGGTCCACGTCTTTGTATAGCCCCCCCATATAACGGTACCTCCCTATATTCGGTATTTTGATGATTTTTGCGGCATTATTCACCGGAATTGTTTCAAATTTGGTATTTGAGCCTATGACAGAAAATTGTCTGTGCAGGTCCACGTCTTCGTATCGCCCCCCATATAACGGTACCTCCCAAAATTCGGTATTTTGATGATTTTAGCTCCAATATTCACCGGAATTGTTTCAAATTACGTATTTAGAGTTCGTAATGGGAACTACAATCTGTGGCAGAAAATTGTCTTTACAGGTCCAGGTCATCGTATAGGCCCCATATATCAGTACCTCCCTATATTCGGTATTTTGACGAGTTTAGGTACAATACCCACCGAAATTGTTTAAGATATCGTAAGTAATGGATGCTATAGCCTGTGACAGAAAATTATCTATGCTGGTCCAGGTCTTCGCATAGCTCCGATATAATGGTACCTCCCTATATACGATATTTTGATGATTTTAGCTACATTATTCACCGTTTATTTCAAGTTTCGAATTTGAATATGGTAATGGCTAATGACAAACAATGTCTATGTAGGTCTACGTCGTATAGACCCCACTTTACTGCTTTTTATCTTATTTTTTTACATTTTATCTAAATTTAAAGAGACCCTCCTCTGAAATAGTTTCGAAATGCATTTCTAGGAAAGTCGCTGCTATAGACCATATAACAACACCTTCCTTAATAACTTTCAATGATCTTCCATAAATAGGAGGCCTTTAAATGACCCCTCAAAGGCCTTAAATTTATAGAACGCATTCTGTCTATAAATGAATTATAAAAAGTCTTCCAAGCCCCTCAGAGCCCCCTCAGAATTCTTCTAACTACAGAAATCTACCCGATGGCATGTCCATCAATAGAAGACCTCTAATTGGTCATGCGTCCATTAAATACATGTTGATGGTCCTGCACTTACAGAAGTTCCTTCAAAGGTCTTTAAACTACACAGGGTCTTTAAAAAAATATAACTCAAAAGTCTATATAAGTCGAAAGTGTTCTCTCCTTGGAATATCTCTCAGTGACCAGTGACATCTTATAGGTCATACATCTATAAACTACAGGCTGAGACAAAAAATCCACAACAAAGTCAAATGCCATAATTTTTACATTTATTTTAAATATTTTTTTTTTTTTTTTGAATGAAATAAAAAAATGTCGGAAATAGCATCAAATTTTAGAATAAGTTTAGGTTTGTTCGAATTGGTCACCTTTGGTGCACATATTCAGCTGACCTCTTCGACAAGTAAACATGATAATTTTGTTTGTTTACAAACTGCTGGACAAGGAATATTTTCTCGGAAAAAACCCAAATTCGACAGATCACCACTTTCGAACAAGCGAACAACTCTTTAGCTCTTTTGGACTATTTTCTTTCTGTTGCGGGGTAAGTTCTTGCACTTTTTGGAATTTCAATGGCTTTACCCCGAGCTCATTTTTCAATATTTGCCGAATGGAATATAACGATATGTTCAGCTCACGAGCCATTTTTCGGCCACTGCTACGCGGGTATTGATCTTCACTTTTCGAACCATTTCTGCTGATGTGGCTTCCGTATTCTTTCGTCCACTTCCTTGATGTCGGGCAACGTTACCAGTATCACGGTAACGAGCGATGGATCAAGATGATAAGTCTTGATAGTCCCTGAAAAAATACATTTTAAGACCCCGGATAGTTCTCTAAAATCCCTTAAAATGTCGTATAAAATCTGAAAGTCTTTGAATTAGTAATTTAATAAATCCACGATGATCCTGATAGCGTTTGAATAAAATTTCCTCAAAAATCTACGATTGTTGCCCATATGTTTTTTTGGAGAAATGCTCTTAAAAATAGACGATTATGGCCATGATAGTCTTTGGAAAAATATACCCTAAAAAATTTTAGATATTAAAAAATTATATTGTTAAAAATTCTGATAATACTCAGAAAAGTCTTAAAAATTACGATTAGAGCCCCGAATATCTTTGGAAAAATATTACTTGAAAATTTTGTAAGTCCTTGAAAAAAAATAAAAACAAAATTCTAGCCTTGAAAATCCTTAAAAACAGATTCTTAAAAGTCCTGATAGTCCTTAAAAAATATTCCTTCGAAATCCAAGAAAAAAATTGCCCTGAAGGCATTTAATAATATACTTTCATCGTCATGCCTTTAAGTCCTCAAAAAGAAAAATCCACGGTTTTTAGCCTGATAAGCACTAATAGGGCTTGAAATAATATTTTAACAAAAAAATGTACGATCATAACCTCAATAGTCCTTAAAAACATTATTTGAAACATACAAGAATAACCCTATTCTTTTAAAATTCACTATTACACCCAAGAAACCTCCTTGGATATTCTTCAAGAACTCAAATCTATATAGAGAAAGTCTTTTATGGATAATGTAGTCAAGGTACCTGAAGAAAAAATTCTTGAAAAATTTTGCTCGATGATGGATTAGTTGCTGAAAATGAACTCGTTCGACATGAGGTGAACACAAAGCCACTGGCATACTCCAATGTGAGTCCACATCAAACTCGAACTTAGCACACTTAACGAACGCTTCTCCTCACGTCAGCTAACCACAAAAACAGTGGGTGCTGTCCTTTCACTTCAGGCCAGCATTGGCCTTAACACTCAACAGCGAGTCCTTTTTCTTACCATTTATTTTAATTTTAAGGTGTTTTCCAATGGCAATAAAATTATTATTATGACCTCTTGATCCTTAGGTCATGATAAGTGACAGAGAGTGGGCAGAGAATTTTCCCACGTGCCTTTCGAACAGCATCTCGTGTAATGTGCGTGGGAACGACGATTCTAACTAAGAACTATTCCACAACATCGACGCCTATTTTATGAGTTTAGTCCGTCTGTCTGTAGATAAACAAAGAAACCTAAAAACTACTTTCCCATGATCCTGCATCCTTTTTAGATACTGTGTAGAAGAAAGAACAATAACAAACACACTGCAGAGAAACACGAAACTAATCTCAATTTGATGGCAGCATTAAGATGCTGTTATTCTTTGGTTGCTAAACAGATTTCCAACATTCCCACACTCTGCAGCCAGCGACAGATGCATTTGAAGAAATGAGTTCTTCTAATGAGAATCGTTGTTGGTTGTACAAATACCTGCACATCCCTTTTTGTGATGGAATCCTTAAATGCAGTTAGGTGCAGATGAGGAATTATTTGAAAAAGAAAACAAGTGTGTCAATGGTCAGACATCAATTTACGTTTGAAAGAAAATGCGAGCAAATTTTCCCTTAGAGTTTTCCTTCTGAAGCTCTTCTATAGGCAGAAGACCTTCTGAAGCTCTTCTATAGCCGGGAGACCTTCTGAAGCTCTTCTACAGCCAGAAGATCTTCTGAAGTTATTATATAGTCCGGAAGACCTTCTGAAGCTCTTCTATAGCCAGAAGACCTTCTGAAGCTCTTCTATAGCCAGAAGACCTTCTGAAGCTCTTCTATAGCCAGAAGACCTTCTGAAGCCCTTCTATAGCTAGAAGACCTTCTAAAGCTCTTTTATAGACAGAAGACCTTCTATACCCAGAACACCTACTATAGTCAGAAGACCTTCTATAATCCGGAGACCTTCTGAAGCTCTTTTATGGCCCGGAGACCTTCTGACACTCTTCTATAGTCCGGAGACCTTCTGAAGCTCTTCAATGGCCAGAAAACCAACCTTATATTCCTCATTTACTTTTTCCAGAATCGACTAGCATGATTTTTGCATTTCCTCGTAATGGAAAATTGATATCTCATCGTTGACACACTCGGTCTTTTCAACAAAAACAAACACATTCAGCTATGCCTAACTGCATTTCAGGAATCAATAATAAAAAGGATGTGCAGGTATTTGTACAACCAACATCGATTCTCATTAGAACATCTCATTTCTTCAAATGCATCTTGCGTTAGCTTCAGAGTGTGGGAATGTTGGAAATCAGTTTGGTAACTCAAGAATAACAGCATCTTAATGCTGCCATCAAATTGAGATTAGTTTCATTTTTCTCTGCAGTGTTTTTGTAGTTGTTGTTCTCTTTTCTACACAAATGTCTAAAAAGGATGCAGGATCATGGGAAATTAGTTTTTTTTTGTTTCTTTGTTTATCTAAAGACAGACAGAGGGACTAAACTAATAAAATAGGCGTCGTTGTTTTGTAGAATAGTTCTTAGTTGGGATCGTTCCCACGCATATTACACGAGATGCTGTTCGATGGGCACGTGGGAAAATTCTCTGCTCACTCTATGTCACTTATCATGACACAAGGATCAAGAGGTCATAATAATAATTTTTATTGCCATTGGGAAACACCTTAAAACGAAAATGAATGGTAAGAAAAAAGGACTCGCTATTGAGCCAATGTTGTCCTTAGGTGAAGGGACAACAACACCTACTATTTTTTGTGGTTAGCTGACATGAGGAGAAGCGTTCGTTAAGTGTGCTAAGCTTGAAATTGATGTGGACACACGTTGGATTATGCCAGTTTGGTTTTATACAGCTAATGCCGAACTCGTTGCAAACTTATTTTAAAATTGTAGAGACTTGATATAACATCTCAGCAATTGACAAGGGAGATTTGTACAGAATATTTTAGAGTGAACTTCATGGATATAATCGTGGATTTTAAAGAACATTTCCTAAGGCTTTCGGGTTATTATTTTACTATTTTTAGGGCTTTCAGGGCTATCTATAATTGTGAACTTTAAAAATATTTTTTTCAAGGATCATTTATATAAGATCTATATTCGAATTTTATGGCAAACAATTTTAATGAATATTTTGAGATCCTACCATCCCGTTTAAGGGGATTTTTAATCACATTTTAAAAAGGAGACTAAATAAGACACCTTTGGTGACTCACCCTATAATTAGTGTTTTATATTTATGAATTCCTTGCGTTTAGGTAAGTTTTATACTCTTGAAATATTCTAATACCTTTCAAAGAATGAATTATCAGAATACATTTTCACATATCGATGGATTTTAAAAATAATTTTTAAGGAATATGGGAATTTTTTAAAGACTTTTATTTAAAGATCTACAATCATGGATTCCTAAAAAAATATTTTTCCAACTTCTATCTGGTCAATAATTGAGTGTTTTTAACTAATATATTTCTAGGACTACCAAGACTAGAATCTTGCAGTTTAAAAGAATATTTTTCAAGGACTTTCAGCTATATAATCGAAGAACTCTGGAAGTATACTCTGTATAGAACTTCTATAGTCCTGGATTTTTTAAAGAATATCATTTTTCAGGATAAAGTTTCACATAGCATTTACTCATAGACTATCGAAGCTTGAATCGCGAATTTTGTACATTTTTTGAGGAATATATTCATTGATTTTGTAAATATTTTTTATAGACTCTGAGGACTATAATAACGGATTTTAAGGAATGTTTTCTCACAGACTATCTGCGTCTTTAAATAATAATATTTTTTGAAGAACTTTCAAGGCTAATATCGAGTTTATTTTTAAAAATATTTTCAGGAACTATAAGGGCTATTATTTTTCGAAGATTTTCTGGACTATAATCATGGATTTCTATAGAGTGACTATCATAACTATAATTACTTTTTTAAAGAATATTTTTCGAGGTCTACCGGGAATAGAATCTTGGAGTTTTAAGAAATATTTTTCAAGGACTCTTAGGGCTTTTATTTTGAATCTTTGGAAGAATATTTAATAAAGGACTACAGGACATGTCTATAATCCTGTTTTTAACAACAAATTTCAAAGAATGTTTTTTGAGGTCTATCCGAAGTATAACCGTAATTTTTTATAGATTTTTCAAAGAGCTTTTAGGGCAGATTTCGCAGATTTTTTCAAGGACTATAAAGGCTAGATTCTTGGATATTTTCAGGGACTATAATAACTTTAATAGTGAATTTAAAATTTGCTTCAAAGACTATTTTTAAAGAAAAAAATTTCAAGAACTATCAGGGCTAAAATCATGCTCTTTTAGAGAATATTTTTCAAACGTTTTATGGTGTGGAGCTTCATAAAAATTTTTAAGACATCAAAGATTTCTATGAATATTTTTCAGAGGCTCTCAGTGCTAGGTTTCTAGAGAATATTTTAATAAAAGACGATCAGGACTATAAATGCAGATTTTTAATTAAGTTTTGCCAAGGACTACCTAGGTCTTGAAAGACTATTTTTTCTAGGTCTTTTAAGGCTTTAACAATGGATTTTTTCTAGCAACCACCGATTTTATAATCGCGGATATTATAGGACCATTTTTGAAGGACTATCAGGGCTATTTTTGGATCTGTAGGAGAATATTTTCAGTTTTTAATAACTATCAGTGTTATAGTTGTAGATTTCAAAGCAGGGATTTTTTAAGTAAGGATCATTGAGATTATAAACATGGATTTTTAAAGAATATTTTTCCAAGGACTAACAAGGCTATAATAATGGATTTTGAAAGTATGTTTTGTAAGGTCTTTCAGAGTTACAGTCGTGAATTTCAAAAACTCTTTTCTCTAAAAATCTTGGATTTCAAAATACTTTAGGCCATTGATGTTCTAAAGATATATTATTAAAGACTATCAGGGATACATTATCGGACTTTTTAAAGGAAATTTTTTTGGAAACTATAAGAGGTCACATTGCGTCCTTCAAGAGATATTCCCTCAAGTACGACTTATTCTATCGTCATGAATTTTTAAGGTCTATTCGGGATATTATTGTGGTAATTTTGCCCTGGAGTTTAAAAGGCTTTAAGGGCTATACTCTTAAGAAATATTCTTTCAAAAAAAAAAAAAAAAAAAATATATAGATGATCCAATGAACTATTTTCAAGGACTATCAGAACTTTAATCGCAGTTTTGTAAAGAACATTTTTTTTAAGGACGACCTACTCCATTATCATGGATTTTTAAGGAACATTTTAAGGTCTATTGGTGATATTATTGCTGCCATTTTAAAAAATATTTTTCAAGGTCTTACAGAGCTTTAATCGTGGATTTTTTAAATATTTTTTCAGGATGATTAGTCCTATACCAGTAAATATTTTCAACGATTTTTAGGTCTAAACTCGTGAATTTTTTATGAATATTATTTAGAAGGTCCTTCAGGCTTCAATTACGGACGCTTTTAACAGTCATCTAGGCCATAAACGTGGATTTTTAATAAATATAAAATATGAAATAATATTCCAATGGGGTGGCTGGAATATTGTAACATTTTTTAATCGTATTTAAATTTTGTGTGGAAGATACTAGAAGATGTGGAACATTATAACCGAATACGCAAACAGGTTACAACGTTCCACTTCTTCTGGTATTTTCAAGACAAAAGTTAAACATTTTCAAAAATAATAAAAAAAATTATCGTCATCTTGATCGACCATCTTGTTCCAATCCTTTTACCACCTAAGGATCTCAATTTCAAATAATTTATTTCACAATTTTCACAAGTTAAAAATATGGGCCTTCACCTTCTGATACCTCTCACATCAAGCGTAAAAGTTTCAAATATTTATAAGCAAGTGTATATTCTTGCCAAAATTAAATCTAGTGTGAAAATGGGATGTATCGGTTCAGATCTTCTGGTAAAAATAGCAACTCCAATTTATATTATAGTTATAGATTAGATTATGGTTATAATTTAAAGTTCAAAGGACTAAATTTGCCGAGGCACTTGTGTCTTTTCAAATCGGGCTTGTTTTACCCATATGGATTCTACATCCAAATCTGAACCTATCTCGATAAAATTTGGCAATGGTATTTCTGAGCTGAATTTGTATATTTCCCCAAATATCGTTGTTAAAGATATTTCCGACGGTCCTAGATTTGGTCGTATGTGCCATATTCCATCACATTTGGGCTAATAGTACATGTTTGGTGCACAAAAAAAGACGATTCGGACGATGATATATATGGGAGCTATATCCAAATCTGAACCGATCTCCATAGAATTTAGCTGAGGTATTTCCGAGCTGCATTTGATTAACACAACAATACACATGGAAGCTATAGCTATACCTGAACCGATTTAAATCAACTTTAGCATGCTAATTTTCAGGCCTAGTGTCGCCGTAAATTCCATACTATTTGGGCTGATATTACTCGTTTGGTGTACAATAAAAGGTAAATGGGACGAAGATATATATGGGAGCTATATCTAAATTTTGGTCGATTATCTCCACTTTCAACAGGGTCCGTCCTTGAGTCAAGTAAACGACTTGTGCAAAATTTCATCTGGATCGGATAAATGCGACCTGTACTTTGTTTACAAATATACATGGACAAATACAAATATACATGACTCAAGATGTGATTCTTTGCAGATCATCAAAAGGAACTATGGGTCTATCTCGTTCCCTTTTGCCTGTTACAAACAAATGCACAAAGACATAATACCCTGATCACCTAGAGGTGTTGTGTATAGCTAGTGCCTCAGTTTCCTTCAAAATTCCAAAATCTCAAAATTTCTGTTTAAGGGATAGATAGGGTCAATATTGCTAGGATAACTTATATTTTATGCCCCATTGTTTCATTCAGGTCATTGAAGATCCAATTAAAAGCCTGTTCCTTTGTTCACATATTCAAGTCAATGGATTTTATTTATTTTTATTAAAAAAAAAAATGTCATGGTTCATTTAACAGCTTCCTTGTTGGAGAACTTTGAAGGCCTCTGTAAAAAAAAAAGAAAATAAGATTCCATACTCCCCCTCCTCTTTATATTTCTTATTTGCAATACTTACTCTCATTGCCCACGGCACAGTTGATGGTCTCCATCATACATTCATTGCTGGCCAAGGCACGATATTTGCCATTGGAAATACACACCGGCTGATAGATCATGGCACAGGGTTTCAAACACTTGGAGGTGGTGAGATCCAAGTTGTTCAATTTTACAAACAGATTTTCTATGGTATCCACAAATTCCGTGCTGCACCAGTCCATGGCAGTGGCAGCGAAGGCTAAAATTTTTTCGAAAAATATTTTTTTAATTTTTATGGCTCCTTGGGAAAGAGTCCCTCTGAACTTACGTGTCAATGAATTCCTTTGCCGGCGACAATTGCTGGCCTTCAATTCACAGGGATTGCTGAACTCCTTGTACATCTTGCCATCGGTGGCACAGAGGGGGGCATACAAGGCCGGACAGATTTGTGGGCAATCGAGTTCATCGGTGGGATTGGCATTCAATGGGCCCAAAGTGGCGCCCAACACCATCAAAGTTATTACGATTTTGGTAAACATTTTAATTTTTGGTTTTCTTTTGCTTTTAGAGTTTATTTTCTAATTCTTCTCTCTTCTTTTCGCTCTCACTGAACTTTATTCTTTTAGTTTATTTGTCAGACTGTCAGTTGTTTTTATACTTTTCTAACAATTACCTGGGGGAATATATTTCGGTGGCATTTTTCTTATCATCGATTGAAAGGCTTTTATCATTATTATTGTTTTTGTGATAAGATGCCGGGCCTGTGTGCCACAGGTGATAACGATATTATTATTAGTATTTTTTTTTTTTTTTTTTTTTTTGAGTTATAATTTATAATAGAACCAATTGATTTGTTTTGATTGCCTTGCTTTTAGATTGTCTCAGTTCTTTTTATTTGGCACGTTGTTGATGGTAAACATCATCAACTCGGCTAATTTGAAAATGTTGTAAATTTGAAAAAAAAAAAAACATTATTACAGTGCTCCATCAAAATATAAACAAAATATGAAACGACGTACCTGATATTTGGCACGCCAAGGGGAACTTTTTTAAAATCACTTGCCCTTGATTATAGTGCCAACTTTCTTTGGGTGAGAAATTGCACCGACATACCTTGACGTCCTCCACACGCTGGACATTCTTTCATCATTTTCTATTTGCTCAGTCATAATATTTTATAGAGATAAGAGTTCAGAGTTAAGATTTATATGCCTTGACGTGTCCCGCCATAGTTCAGAATATTTGTTTTTAGTGATAATGCAAGTAATCAGATTTAAACTGAATACCCCAATCTTTTCTCCTCAATACTCTGAGTATTGGAATTAATTCATTATTAGTCATTAAACATTTTTTGGAAATCGAAACCCTGTGTTTCTTGACACCCATATCAAGTGCTCTGGAACTTAATTTGTATTGGATGGTGTGACAAATACATTTACGATCTGATTTTTTTCCATTGGTTTGAAGTGGAGAGTATATTGGCTTTGGCAAAAAGAGCCATCAATCCTTATAACCAGGAGCTATTTAAAAATAACTTCTATGACAAAAACTTGTTTATACCTAAGTAACGATCCCATGCCCAATGGAAGAGGGACCAAAAAAAAAAAAAATCAGGAGGAAATATAGCTATATGAGACCATCAGAAGGTCTTCGAGCCATAAAAGACCATCAGGAAATCTTCTAGCTATAGGAGGACGTCTTGTAGACATAGAAGACCGTCAGAGGGTCTCCTAGCCTCAGAAGACAGTCGGAATGCCTTCTGGCTACACAAGTCTGGCAAGAGGCAATCTAGCTATAGGAGGTCAGTAGGTCTTCTAGCTATAGATCAGGTCTTCTAGAAATAGAAGACCGTCAGGAGGTCTTCTAGCTATAGGAGACCTTCTGGATATACAAGTCTCTGAGGGGGTAATCTAGCTATAGACGACCGTTAGAAGATCTTCTAGACATAGAAGACCGTCAGAAAGTCTTCTGGCTACACAAGTCTCTTAGAAGGTCTTCTGGCTACACAAGTCTCTTAAAAGGTCTTCTAGCCATAAAATCCGTCAGAAGGTCTTCTGGCTACAAAAGTCGCTCAGGAGATAATCTACCTAAAGGAGACCATCAGCAGGAGGTCTGCTACGCATAGAAGGTCGTCATCAGGCCTTCTAGCTGTAGGAGACCGTCAGGAGGTCTTGTAAACTGACATTACCATAATTTTTGTGTTATTTTGAAGCTGTCAAGGAGGTAGTTAAATTTTTTAGGCTTTCTTAGGTGGGTCACACGCCAGTAAAATTTGGGATCAAAATAATCATTGAATTAACATCAGTAATTTTGAAATAAAATGAATACTTTGCGAAATAAGCTTTCATACCGGCGATGCTCGAATCTTCCAATTTTAACTCCAAATTCATAACCTGCATGACTTTTTCAGTAATTATTTTTCTGTAACACAGTGTATAGTGGATTTCTAAAAACTTGAAATTGTATTCTGTCTACGGAAGATCTTCGGAAGAATTTCCATTTTCTATAGAAGAACTTCTAGAAGTTTTTTTGTCTATAGAAGCCTTTAAGGAGTCTTCTTTAACATAAGTCATAAGGTTTTCTATGCAGATAAAAAGTTTAGGAAGTCTTCTTCCCTCGGGAAATCTTCCATATATTGTTGACCATAAAAGTGCCCTCTATTTTTATGATTGGAGGCCCTCATATACTTAGTTTGACACCCAAAATTTCCAGTTATTGCGAAATACTCCAAACTTCAAAAACAAAAATGTCATTACCCCATTCTCTGACACCATGTCATCAGAACTTTATCAATAACTTCACATCTGATTGAGACACGGATATTCGTCAGTCATTTATTCGATCGATTGAAGCGGATGATTCATGCGCTTGGCAGTGAAGCCATTAAAATAATTGCTTGATGTTTGACATCCCATACATAAATGATATGCGTAGTTTGTTATTCTTTTTGCGTCGCGGGTCTGTTGCTGCGTCTTCTTGTCACTCTTTTTTGGAATTCCCCACGATCTGCGAGCAATCGCACATCAGTGAGTGCCAGAAAAAGAGCAATGATTTCAACTGTTTGATAATGAAGTTCTGATTGGAAACTAAAGAGGTGTTATGATGGTATATGAGAGAAGGGGAGGGTAGGGGAGGCAACGCAAAACTCAAACATCAAAACAACAATCACTCAAGGTGACCTTAATTTGTTGGCTCACTTTGTTTACCGTTTGTTTTTATTTTCAATTTTTTGTTTTGCCGTTGGCGGAGTCTTCTTTTGGAGATATGGCAGGAGATACCCCTCCCTTCACGGGGTAGCAGAAGTACGCAGAACACGTGTTGCCATTACAAGTGGCCAGTAGCCGCAAGAAGAGTACCGCTAGTGAAATTTTGAAATCCGTTAAAGTGATCATCAATGATGATGACAACGATGGCGATGACGATCATCGTTCACCGCGCAAGGGCCGGCAGTTAAAATATTGTCGCATAACAACCAACATCATTGAGGCTTGTGGGCATGCGCAACCCATCCACAGAAGAAAGGCGAGATACGAAACGAAGCGAAAGAAGAAAAAATAACAAAAACATTACCTCAACGTTTTTGGCATAGCAATGAGGAGTTTCAGAAGTATTCGGTGGTATTCCTCTTAGAGGCTGGGTGTGTCACACGGTCGTAAGCAAAACCCCCTCCCCCCTACCACCAAACCCAAAACTTCTCGTTCGTTCCAAAGCGACATACTTGTCGAAAGTGTGGGAAAGTAAGAACCTGAAAAAAAGTATGGGGCCCATGACAAGGCCATAAATTCTTTGGTGTGTGACTGGATGGATGGATGGTTCGATAGATGGCTGACTGGCTGATGGACATACCTACTTACCAAGCAATTGTCCACATCATACACACAAACATATGTCTGTATAATTGGTTATGTAGGCAAGAAAAAATAAAAAGAAATTACTTCTTTTAAATTGTCACTTATGTTCGGAGTGTCTGTCCACTCATGATGGCCTGCACGCGGTTTATCAACACCAACGACTAAAAACTCAATCTATCCATCCAAGTGGGCAAGTGGGTCCGGGATTGTGTGCCCAACTGCCTTGACTCTTAAACACTGATCCGTTGCTGGTCATTTGATATGCCTGTCGCATTCACGAAGGCCGTCGTCGTAACCACCTCTACTCGCCTGAGTGTTTGGTGGCCTCAAAAGGCATGCGGCCATCTATTTGTACTTCTCTTATTTTTTGTACTTCTCTTCTTCTTCTCCGTTTCGAATCAGAATTAAGAATTATTAAATTTAAATGCCAATTGGAACGTGGTGCTGTAATTCCAACTTGACGAGGTAGGGTATCAGGTAAAGGGGAAATGTCTGTTTAATGAAGTGTATCCTAAATTGCCTTTATGAGATCTTCCAGCTATAGAAAACTTTCAGAAGGTCTTCTGGCCATAGAAGACCGTCAGGAGGTCTTCTAGACCTAGGAGACCGTCAGGAGATCTTCTAGCCATAGGAGACCGTCAGGAGATCTTCTAGCCATAGGAAACCGTCAGGAGGTCTTCTAGCCATAGGAGACAGTCGAAGGTCTTCTGGCTATAGAAAGCCTTCAGGGGGTATTCTAGGTTTAGAGAAGCGTCAGGAGGTCTTCTAGCTACATAAGACTCTCAGCAGGTCTTCTGGCTATAGAAGATCGTCAGGAGGTTTTCTAACTATAGAAGACCCTTATTAGGTCTTCTAGCCATTGAAGACTCTACGGATGTTTCCTAGGCATAGATGAGCATCCGGAGGTTTTCTAGCTATAGAAGAGCATCAGACATCATCCTACAAGATCGTCAAGAGGTCTTCTAGCTAAAGAAGACCGTCAGGAAGTCTTTCAGAACGTCAGGAGGTCTTGTAGCTTTAGATGATCGTCTGGAGGTCTTCTAGCCATAAAAGACTGCCAGAAGATCTTCTAGCCATAGGAGACCGTCAGGATGTCCTCTAGCTATGAATAATTTTCAGGAGATCTTCTTTCCACGGAATACCGTGGAGGTCTATGAAGGTATTTTGTCTATAACAGACCAGCAGGAGATCTTCTGCGTATAGAAGACCGTCAGCAGGCCTTCTGGCTATAACAGACAATCAGGAGGTCTTATAGCTATAGAAGACCGGCAGGAGGTCTTCTGGCCACAAAGGCCGTCAGGAGCTCTTCTAGGCATAGAAGACCGTCAGGAGATCTTTTAGCCAGAGAAGACCGTCAGGGGGTCTTGTGGCCAGAGAAGTCCGTCAGAAGGTCTTCTAGCCTTAGAAGACCGTAAGCAGGTCTTCTAGCTATAAAAGACTTCTAGGAGGTCTTTTAACTTTAGAAGACCGCCAGGTGGTCTTCTGGCTATGGAGGACCGTCAGGAAGTATCCTAGCTATAGTAGACCGTAAGAAGGTCTTCTACCGATAGAAGACAGTCAGGAGGAGAGCGTTAGTAGGCCTTCTGGCCAGAGAAGACCGTCAGGAGGTCCTCCATTCTTAGTAGACTGTAAGGAGGTCTTCAAAACATAGAGGATCGTCAAGAGGTCTTCTAGCTATAAAAGAGGAGGTCTTCTATCTATAAAAGAGCGTCAGGAGGTCTTCTATCTACAGAAGACCGTCACGAGGCCTTCTGGCTACAGAAGACCGTCACGAGGACTTCTGGCTGCAGAAGATCTTCACGAGGCCTTCTGGCTATAGAAGATCTTCAGGAAGTCTTCTGCCTATAGAAGACCGTCAGGAGATCTTCTGGCTACAGAAGACCGTCAGTAGATCTTCTGGCCATAGAACATCATCGGGTTGTCTTTTATCAGAAGACCGTCAGGAGATCTTCTAGCTATAGAAGACAGTCAGGAGGTCTCCCGCCCTAGAAGAGCATCAGGAGGTCTTCTGGTCATAGAAGACCGTTTGTGGTCATCTGGATATAGAAGACTAGGTAGAGAAGAGCGTTAGGAGGTCTTCTGGCCTTGGGAGTCTTCTATATCTAGAAGACCTCCTCAGGGTCTTCTGGCTATAGAAAACCGTCAAGAGGTCTTCCAGCGACAGAGTACCGTAAGAATGTGTTCTAGACACAGAAGATCATCAGGAGGTTTTTTGGCTTTTGAAAAAGGTCTTTTAGATATTGATGACCATTAGGAGATATTAAAGCTATAAAAGACCCTAAGAAGGTCTTTCAGCTATAGAAGATTCTCAGGAGCTATAGAAGACCCGCAGAAGGTCATCTAGATTGATGTAGAAAGTCAAGAGGTCTTGTAGCCATAGAAAACCCTCAAGAGGTCTGAACTTAACTAATTTCTAAATAAACCTATATTTTCCTATCAATTATTACCCCTCCCTCGTTCCTTATGTTTTGATGATTTGTATGCCCATTTTTTTCTCGGATTATTATCACCAAGCGTAGCTATGTAAATCTAATTGGTATTTTCTTGGTTGGTTCTATGTTACCGTTCCAATATGAATATTAACCTCCCTCCTCCCCCACTCCCCCTCTAACATAAATATTTCCAATTTGAATTTAGTCGAAAACATATCTTTCCAAATTGAAAATTTCCCACTTCGCTGAGAAATGTTTTGGTGGCGCCCAATGCATATTAATTTGCGTGTTCGGCGTAATTTTTACATTCTTCTCGAATTTAGAGGTTAGCCAGCCGTGGCCGGAGTTGACACTGCGGCAATTCAATGAAAAAAGAAAGAAAAAAAGAACGGCAAGAATTTCATTAATTGGTGGATTGCTGTTGTTGGAATATAATTGTTTTGTGTAGAAAATTATCTCCGCTCGTAAATCTTTTTTGTAGAGATGGCTTCTAGAGACAGCAACAGGAGGAGGTCATGCGTCAATCATGTTGCTGTAATGGTGGTGCGAGTTGGAATGCGTTGTTTAGATTCATAATTTTCTAAAGATTTGTTGTGTTTCGGTTTTATGAGTTACGAGTCGTGCCCATTTTTATTTTGCCATTCGGGTTCGAGCAAATGGCCAAGTGCAGGCATACCTGCCACGGAGAGTGTGTCATGCGCCAGCTGCATTTCACTTTGCTGCATTTGCATAATTTTTAAATAATGGAAAAATGTATATTATTATTAATTTTAATAATAATAATAATCAATAATCACCTTACGGTTTATTGATTTCCCATTTTTTATGGGCGTTGCGTGTATTCACGTTTCGGACATAACCTCAAAAAAATCACAAGGGGTCTTCTAGGAGGTGTTAACTGTTCACAAAGTGCTTGAATTAATTGGAGGCATCACACATAGAGAATTTTGATGTTTTTGGTTAAAATGCGTGACTAGTTATTGAGATTTGTTGAAAAAAAAATATTTTGAAATTCTAGCCTCTTGATGGCTTCTATTGTTGAAAGGAGGCGAGGGAGACATTACTAATGATTTGAGTGGAAAATTAATTAATTTCCCCAGTTTAAACTATGATAAGGGTCCCTTTGTCCTTCTGGCATATTTAAGTAGCCGTTTTGACTATTTTTGGCATATTTAATTGTTAATAAAAAAATATTATTTTGAAATTTCAGAACCTTCCTTAAAAGGAGTCATTATTATGACTTGAGAGGAAAATTAATTAATTTTTCTGCTTTAAAATATGATGAGGGTCCTCTTTATCCTTTTGGCATATTAAATTAACTGTTTTAAAAGATGATAATTTTATTTTATTTTTTGTTTTCTTATCTTTACAGGTCCTGCTTATCACCAGCAATCACGAAGGCGGTAAGTCCATATCATTACATTTCATTCATTTTTAATTTATTTTCATTAACATCGAGGGTTGATATCCTGCATAAATTGCTACTGTGTGCCTTGAGAGGCAAAACATTAATTTTTTGGAAGATCATTAATAATTCCAGAAGGGATAATAAGTCATTAGTCACTCTCTTTCGAAACTCCAATCACGATAGTTTTATTACTTAGCTTAAGAAGATTAAGTTGTCTTTTTAATGCGGGTCTCGTGTAGACTCAAATGCCTGTATGTGAAATGGAAAGGTTATTCAAAATCGTATAACATTAGGAGAGGGCCTACGATAAGGAGAATATACAAACGATATAGCTGGCAAGTAATCTATAGTTCTATCGATAGGTTTTTTCCTGCGCCAATGTCGACTGACACTTTTTACACCCGATTGAAATCGAGAACACTAATTATAGGAAATCCTCAAGGAGGTCTTCTAGTTATCTCCATCTAGCTGTAAAAGGCCCTCAGAATGTCGTCCAGGTTTAGAAGACTGTCAGGAGGTCTTCTAGATATAGCAGTCGGGAGGTCTTCTAGCTATAAAAGACCCTTGAAAGCAATAGAAAATCCTCAGGACGTCTTCTAGACTTATAAATCCCTCAGGATGTCTTCCAGTTTTAGAATACTGTCAGGAGGTCATTTAGGTGTAAAAGGTCTTAAGAATGTCGTCTAGCTTTATAGCATCGTCAAGGAGGACTTCTAGTTATCTCCTTCAGCTGTAAAAGTTCCTCAGAATGTCGTCTACCATCAGGTTTTCTAGATATACAACTCAGGAGATCTTCTAGCTACAAAAGACCCTTGCAAGCTATAGAAAATCCTCTCAGGAGGTCTTTTAGGTATATAATACCCTCAGAAGGTCTTCCATTTACAGAATACCTTCGGGAGGTCATTTAGCTAGAAAAGGTCTTTAAAAAGTAGTTTGGCTTTGTAAAATCCTCAGTGAGGTCTTTTAGATATAGGATACCTTCAGGACGTCTTTCATTTACCAAGGAACCTCAGGACTACTTCCAAATACAAAAGACTTACTGGAGGTCTTCTGGCAGCTGGAGAAATCAAAGAGGGTTTTTAACTTCAAAATAATTTTCTAAGAGTCAGAGAAGTCTTCCTCTAGGTCTTCTATGAGACGACCACCTTCATTTCTTCTATGAGACGACCTCTTTCATTTCTTCTATGAGAAGACCTTCCTCCAAGTCTTCTATAAGAGATTTCCTCCAGGTCTCCTTTGAGAAAACCTCCTCCAGGTCTTCTTTGAGAAAACCTACTCCCCGACTTTCTTTGAGAAAACCTCCTCCCCGACTTTCTTTGAAAAGTCCTCCTGCAGGTCTTCTATGAGAAGACCACCTGCGGGTCCTCTATGAGAAGACCTCCACCAGGTCGTCTATGGGAAGACCTCCAGCAGGTCGTCTATGGGAAGACCTCCAGCAGGTCGTCTATGGGAAGACCTCCATCAGGTCTTCTATGAGAAGACCTCCTGCAGGTCTTCTATGAGAAGACCTCCTGCAGGTATTCTACGAGAAGACCTCCACCAGGTCTTCTATGAGAAGAAGACCTCCACCAGGTCTTCTATGAGAAGAAGACCTTCAGCTCTTCTATGAGAAGAAGACCTCCACCAGGTCTTCTATGAGAAGAAGACCTCCACCAGGTCTTCTATGAGAAGAAGACCTCCACCAGGTCTTCTATGAGAAGAAGACCTCCACCAGGTCTTCTATGAGAAGAAGACCTCCACCAGGTCTTCTATGAGAATAAGACCTCCACCAGGTCTTCTATGAGAAGAAGACCTCCACCAGGTCTTCTATGAGAAGAAGACCTCCACCAGGTCTTCTATGAGAAGAAGACCTCCACCAGGTCTTCTATGAGAAGACCTCCACCAGGTCTTCTATGAGAAGAAGACCTCCACCAGGTCTTCTATGAGAAGACCTCCACCAGGTCTTCTATGAGAAGACCTCCACCAGGTCTTCTATGAGAAGACCTCCACCAGGTCTTCTATGAGAAGACCTAGACCAGGTCTTCCATGAGAAGACTTTCTCCAGGTCTTCTATGAGAAGAAGACCTTCAGCTCTTCTATGAGAAGAAGACCTTCAGCTCGTCTATGAGAAGAAGACCTTCAGCTCGTCTATGAGAAGAAGACCTTCAGCTCGTCTATGAGAAGAAGACCTTCAGCTCTTCTATGAGAAGAAGACCTCCTTCAGCTCTTCTATGAGAAGAAGACCTCCTTCAGCTCTTCTATGAGAAGAAGACCTCCTTCAGTTCTTCTATGAGAAGAAGACCTCCTTCAGCTCTATGAGAAGAAGACCTCCTTCAGCTCTATGAGAAGAAGACCTCCTTCAGCTCTATGAGAAGAAGACCTCCTTCAGCTCTTCTATGAGAAGAAGACCTCCTTCAGCTCTTCTATGCGAAGACGACCTTCAGCTCTTCTATGCGAAGACGACCTTCAGCTCTTCTATGCGAAGACGACCTTCAGCTCTTCTATGAGAAAACCTCCTTCAGCTCTTCTATGGGAAGACCTTAAACTCTTCTGTGGGAAGACCTTAAGCTCTTCTAGGGGAAGACCTTAAGCTCTTCTAGGGGAAGACCTTAAGCTCTTCTATGGGAAGACCTTAAGCTCTTCTGGGGGAAGACCTTAAGCTCTTCTATGAGAAGAAGACCTTCAGCTCTTCTATGAGAAGAAGACCTTCAGCTCTTCTATGAGAAGAAAACCTTCAGCTCTTCTATGAGTAGAAGACCTTCAGCTCTGCTATGAGAAGAAAACCTCCAAGTCTATTTCAAGGTCTTTAGGGCTTCTTATGAAGCATCTTGAGGTCTTCCCGTAGAAGACCCTGAGATATTTATATAAAGACATAAGGCTAGAAGACTTTTTCAATGGTTTCATCAAAATTCGGCTTTGACTTTTAAAAATATCCTTCCATTCGCTTTTCAAGTGCTCCAATGACTCATATTCTCTTCCTAAACTCAAATTTAAGATTTTACATCCGTTAAAATGTTATGGCATATTATTGTCTACGACGACTACTACCATAACAAGGATGATTCACCCAATCTTCCTGAAAATGTCATCCTCTTGTCGCTTGGTGAACAGACAGACATTTCGAATCATATTTCTATATCCGCTTTTAAATTTCCATGGAAAACGGTTAAGGCGATGATGATGATGACACTGACGCTGACGCTGAAGGTTGTCATCGAAAACCAGTCAAGAGATGAGACCAGGAAGGTGGTGACCAATTTATATGCAAAACGACCATGAAGACTAACAGGCATGGGAAGGAAGGGGGAGGAGACGAAGGAAGAAATTGATGGCTGGCTGGGTGCCTCTTCAAGTGTGGTTGGTTGGACAAGAGGCCACATGACACCGCGTGGCATTGCCGGTCGGTCGTTCACTGTTGTTTGGTTTGGGTTAAACGTTCTTGTAACTTGTGGCAATCATTTGTTGATAATTCCGTTCTGCCTTTCCTTTTGTTGTTGCGGATGGTTCGCTGCATTCCTGCATGCTTGCTGGCTGGCTAGCTGACTGACTTGGTAGCCCAGGCATGTAAGTGATTCCACGAAACCTGGAGGTGATGAAGACTGAAAACAAAACAAAACAGAAATACAACAAATGACAACCAGCTAATAAACATGTCGCGATTATGACTAGCAACAACATCACCAAGAGCCATTGACAATAATGTTCCATGGAAAGAAAGGCTTTGGCTTTAATCGGGTCAAATTTATATTCGAAAAAAAGTTGTTTTTGTTTTCTGCTATTGTCCTCTCTTCTATGGAAATTTGATTTAGAAATGAAATTCTTTGAAAAGAGCAGATATTTTTCTTGCGGTGCGGGGGGCTAATTGTTTGGTTTAATCATAAATTGGGATTTTTATCGTTACGCTGTCATCATTTCGAACAGAACAAGGGTCATCCGGTCGGAATTCTTTCTAAAAGCGAGGTAGGTTTTATTGGTTATTAATTGGTTCATAATTCATGTTAAAAATGATGATCATAATTAGATCGAATACTTTTCACCTCATTAGGTTGATATTAGGGCGAGCTTAAGGGGCGGGGAGGAAACAACAAGATTAGTATTGTGGGCACTCACTCCCCAGTTTCGAAACTAATCCCAAACCAAACAGGTTTTCATGAGTCTAAGAAATTCCTAGGGATCTCCTGAAGTAACCACGTTTTCCAAAAACCCTACACTTGACTCAAAAAAAAAAAAAAAACATCAATGAAAACCAAAATTTCCTGGAAGGACACAAAATCAACAATTTCCTGCACTTGTTAGATGACAAGGAAAAAGGAAACTAGAGAAATTTTAAACAAATTCCCCGAAATTCACAAATGACACACACACACAACCTCCATTAATCCTGGCCAAACCAGCCATTGCACACAGGATCTGGGGAAACTCAATCGTAACACTTGAGCAGCGAATACCAGGGAAATAAGGAAAACAAATCCTTTTCTCTTTCCTCTAAACATGTTGAGACATGTTAACCCCTCGCAACACACAGACATGCTAAAACACATTATTGGAACAAGTGAAGGGATAGGGGACATTGTCATATCCTTGAAATCCTTGTGTGTGTCTAAATAAACAAAACTTGAATGAATCGATTGGAAAACCCCCGAAAGAAAAACACGTTCCGTCCGGACATGTCGTGACATTTATAAGGAGTTTTATCACTAAATTTGTCTGGAGGAGTGTCTGAAATCTTCGAGAGGAAGATGAGACAGTTTTATGATGTAAGTTTAAGTTATATCTTGTTTTTCGTAATTAAATATTAGGGAAAGTGTATACTGTGGTGCCTGTAGAAAGCTATAGAATTCTTCTGTGAACTGTAGAAGGTATTCTCTGTTTGATGGCCTTTAGAATACTTCTGTAAGTTTCTCTACCCAAGAATACCTGTGGTAGGTCTTCTTTCTTTGGGAGTCCTGTGAAAATCCAATTGTCCATGGAAAACCTGGTATATATTGGATCCTTGCGTAAGGTCTGCTGTTCATAGAAGAGAGTGGGTATCTTTCATATGGAGTGCCTGTGGATGATATTTTCTTTAAAGAAGGCTTACAAGGTGTCTTTGTTTGAAAGACCTGTGGAAAGTTCTCAATCTTTAGAATCCAGATTTTCATTTCATTGAAGAGCCATCTGTCTTAAAAACGCCATAAAATTCTTGAAAAGGGGGCCTATGCTTAGTTTTCCACATGAAGAAGGCCTGTTCTGTCCACAGATGACTTCAGTAAGGTCTTAACCAATCAACCTCCTGTCATATGCCTAAGGAAGTTTTTATTTCTGTAACAAAATGGTAAAATGTCTGTAATGTCTGCAAAAAAAAAAAAAACGTCATACTATAAAAAATGCTATGGTAGGTCTTCTTTCAGAGAGGTCCGTGAAAATCCCTATCCTGACCAACAGAAACACAAATTTTCTTAACGGAACAGAATTCAGCCTGGTATTAAAGTTTTCTTAACAAAAACTCCAATTGAGCTGCACTGAATTATAGTTTCTCCTTTCTATAGAAGTTTTTTCTTTCTATAGAAGTTATGTGGAATTCTTTGGGCGAGGCTTCCTCTAACAAACATAAGACCTTTCACATGCCTTTTGTGGACAAAATACATTCCACGGATCTTCTAGAGAACCTATAGAAGGCCTTTTGTCCCAAAACACATGTGGAAGATCTTTTGTCCATTTTCTTTTTCTAAAAACTGTGGTATGAATTATATTCATAGAGAACCTGCATAATGCCCTATACGGACAGAAGTTTTCCTGTTCAAGAAAGTCCAGTGTAAAATATTCGCTTTATTTATAAAAAAAAAAACTGTAAAACCTCTTCTTTCTATCAAAGAGCTCTCCTCCTTTCTGTCGTCAGAACTCCTGTTAAGGGTCTTCTCTCTACAAAAGGACATGTTAACTATATTCTTTTTAAGTAAGCCCTGTGGAAATTGACTTTAGGAGACCTCTCGGCATTGAAGAACCGTGAGATATATTTCTTCGATAGAGAATAAATCGGTCAAATGCTTTTGGCAAATCTTCTCTCTATTATAGCCATTTGGATGTCGTTCTCTCTGTATAAAAGACCTATGGAAGATTTTCTGCCTTCAGAAGGCACGTGAAATCATGTGGAAGATATTTTGCATAGGCTTTTTAGGCTCTCCAAGAGTAGAAGACTCGTAGAGGTATTCTGTTTATATAGTTCTGGTCAAAGAAGATCTTTGGAAGACCAATAAGAAATCCTTTCTATATAGAAGTTTTGGAGTTTTCTATAATTGAAAGACCACTTTCGGGGAATCTGAAGCCTCTTGTTCTTCTGAAAAGTTTTCTGGCTATGGAAAAACGTTGGAGTTCTTTTACCCATATGAGAGTTCTGGAATGTATTCTGTCAGTATAAGACCTACAAAAGAGATGTGAAAGGACTTTTTTTTATTAAAGATCTGTTTTTATTAGCTACGCTTGGTAATAATAATCCGACGAAAAAATGGGCATACAAATCATCAAAACATAGGGAACGAGGGAGGGGTGATAATTGATGGGAAAATAGAGATTCATTTTGATAATAGTTGACGATCTTCTTAAGCTAAATGACCTCCTGACGGACTTCTATGTAACTAGAAGACTTCCGACGGTCACACATAGCTAGAGGACCTTCTGACAGGCTAGAAGACCTGCTAAGGCTAGAAGACAATAGACGACATTCTACCGGTCTCCTATGGCTACAAAATCTCCCTCCTGTCTTCTACAGCCAGAAGACCTTCTTACGGTCTTCTGTAGCTAGAAGACCTCTTGGCGGTTTTCTATGGCTACTAAAGAAAAAAGCCCACCCATAGACTTCTTAGGGTCCTATTATAACAAGATGTTATTCTAGAAATCTTTTGAGTCAATAGAATACCTATAGAATTAGAAGGCCTTCAGAGTGATCTATATTTATGGGACTACTAAAGACCATTATAATATCTTCCTTCTAAAGAAGACCTGTATAAGGGTTAATATCGTCTTGGTAGTGTATTTTTTCTGTAGAAATACCAGTTCTATCAACGAATATATTTAATAATTAAAGTCGTCTTTGAGTGACATCTAACCGATCTTCTATAGACATCCGACTGCTCTTAGCTCTGATATAAATAAAAAACCTTCTTTAAACCTCCTGCAAATACTACCTTCTCATAGATCTTCTCCTTCTATAGATACAGATCCTGTTTCTTGCTTCGTGTATTTTTGATATCCTTGAAAATGTTTGTAGATTGAAGATTTGTTAAAGATTTTTCATATGTAGATACAATTTAAAAACGTTTTTCGGGATATATGACCTCATGGCGGTATTTTATTGTACATCTTCTACTGAAATCCTTCCACAGGTATTTGCTTCAATAAGCCTTTAAAACGTAGCTCAGATATATTAAAAGTTCTCAAATGACTCGAAGGTCTTTACAGGGTCTTCTTTCCATAGAAGACCAACAAGAATCCTGAAATTTTTTGAATACCTATCTATCAAAGTTCATATCTATCCACCCATATTCGTCAAACGCGTAGATGTTTAGGTTTTCAATAGATTTCAGGCATTTTGTTGCTTTTCTTCAGAATGTCTTAATGAGATTTCCCAAAAAAAAGATATGCATACATAAATAGTAGAGTGCTGAGGGTATATACCTGTCACCAAACCGACCAATACTTTTTAAACAGTTTTTTTAAAGATTGCCATAGAAGTCTTTTGCCTATTTCAGGTCCGGGCAGAGAGTCGAACTTGTAAGTCGTAAGTGTTTTTGATACGTTTTGGTATTCAATGTTCCTGATTATGAGTATTTAAGGCACGCATGCGTTCTTTTGCCTGGCCCTGGTCTATGGCCCTTTCATTATCTATTGAAGACATATGAAGGTATATCCATCGAAGACCTTTAAGAAGAAAGCTGGCTTTTGTCCTTCAGTCTATAGGAGACCTATTTTCTTCTTCGATCCATAAAAGTCCTGGGAAATGTTATTTTAAAGGATAGAAACCCATCTTTACATCCTCTGTGGATGGGAGATTTCTTTTTGGTGTTCTATAGATATCAAACGACTCATAGATCTCCTTTAAGTACTTCACCCGCAGTAGGTCTTCTATAGAAGAATTACAATGTGTCGATAGAAAATTTATAAAAATTTCGTAATTTGTATAAAGCATTGTACTGATATTATTTACATATATGACCTCATTCAAGTTGTTTTTTTTTTCAATTTTAGGAGCCCAGAGGATATATATTTCGGACTTCATATTCGTCCTTGTTTCCAGACAGGACCTTATTTGAGTAATAGAAGATTAAAAGTAGATCTATATTCAGGCGACTTTTTATGGTTCCATGGACCCATAAAATCCTTTCTTTTGGTCTGCGGTAGACCGACCTTTGTTTGTATAAGAGATCTTCCAAAGATCAGTTGCTCCACACGGCGTTTAAAAAGTCATCTTTAATGGTATACCTTCTCTGGGGCTTACATAGATGTTAGATCTTCTATTTCTCGATACGACCTTTGATTTCTTTTTTTTTTTTTTTTTGAAAAAAAAAACCCATAAAGATCTCCCAAAGAAAAAAAAATATTTTTTTTTTCAATTAGTAATAATATATTTTTTAAAGCTTCTCAATATTTGTTGTTGTTTTATATCACAAAGATTTCTTAACATATTAGAAATATTATTGTTTTTCTTCTTCTTTCTTTCTTTTTTTTAATATCATTATCTCTGGACTTAAGACTAAAGGAAGACATTGTAAATCTATTGTAAAAGTAATTAAAACTTGAACCATTTTTTGTTTTTGTGCTGTTTTCGCCTGCCGCTGATTATCACAATGAGGTAAAAAAATAAAGCTTTTCCGTGAGTTTAAGTAGACCTCCCGAGGGGGAGACTTAAGCCTGGGCCCAACGATCCTGGAACTGCATCAATGGATACTGATAATTGCTGTAGCAGTAGGCAGGTTGTACCAAATCCTCATCAACAGATGGCATGATGGTGCTGGTAACCGGTTGCAAATTTGTGGTCCAGAAAAAGGTACCGGCCTCGGTGCGGGCAAAACGTACCGGAACATAGATATCCAAATCATCATCGTCATCGGCGTCCTCCTCACACATAACGGCCAGTTTTTCATTGGCGGCATTATCCTCCAATTCGGTGAAGTATTGCTGCTGTTCGGCCTGCAAGTTGCGATAGTTGTCCAAATTCTCAAAAGAATCGGCTGAGGAGGTGGAATTGGTATAATTGCTGGAACAGATATCACACTGGCAAATTTGTTGTTGTTGATGATGATGGTAGTGTTGTTGATGCTGCTGATGATGTTGCTGTTGCTTACTTTGCTTCTTGAAGAACGTCTTCAAGACCTTCTTGATACTGTAGGAAGACTTCATTTTTTGTTTGTCGTTGTTGCAAAGTGCTACGAATTTTTCTTGTTGCTGTTGTTGGCACATTGTTTAAATGAATGAGTTTTGATGTTTCTTGTGTTGAACACGAATTGTGAATGAAGTTGAAATGGAAATGCAGCGGCTTTTATAGCTCGCGAGGCGTTGTGCATTTCCTTTCCATGGGGCACAAAAACCGAACATGAACATGCACTGGCACACTCAGCACAGTCAAAAGGGAGAGAGAAGTACAGCCAACCAACCAAGCAGCCAGCCATGCTCATGCCCATCATCGTTCTCAAATTACAACAGGGAAATAAACAGCCAGAGAACCAGAAATGCACACAAGAACAACAACAATTGAACACTCACAACCCAGGGCACAAGTGTGGCTGGCCTCACCCCCAAACGAAAAAGACACACAACATAAAACTTCCTTTGGCCCAGGCAGTGCAACACTGAGAGAGCCTTAGCTGAGAAACAAACAACCAACCAAAGAGTAAAAATAACCCCCAAGATTGGTTATGGAGAGCGCGAGAGAACTTCAAATGGGCAGGTCCGTCTTTATGTTCTGTGTTCGTTTTGTGGTTAAGGAAGGGACTTCGAGTCGAGCTGCGTTGAGCGTTGATTCATTCTCGACCGATTTGTTGTTGTTGTTGTTGGTGGTGGTGAATTTTAAAATTCATTCATTCACAAAACAGGGATCTTGATATTCGTTTTTGTTGCTTCTGTTGTTTTTTATGTAGTTGCTGTACATTTTTATGAACCCTTGCTTGGCTGGCTAAAGGCTGGCTGCTCCTCGAGAACACATCGAAAAGTGTGGGAAAATGTTTCAAAATATCGTGCATGTTTTTTCATGTTCATATCGAGGGGTGATTCGGAACAGTGTTCTGAATTTGGAAAAAAAGATTGATAAAAAAAATTATATTGACGAAGTTCGAAAGCTTCAGTCGGAATTCCGACTTTATGGAGGGCCGTATCTTGCATATAAGACCTATATATTTAATTTTTATACCAGATCTAATATCTGAAAAAATAATACAAAATGTGGGCCGGTGCTGTCCGAAATGGTTATTATTCTGAGGTTTCTTCGAGTACTCCAACCCGTGAGTAAAATCGAGCAAATTGGAGCCCTGGAATGAAGTATTTTCAAAAAAGTACTTCAGAAGGTTTTCTAGCTACAGGAATTCTTGTATCCGCAGAAGTCCTGGAGGAAGGCTTTTCGCTTCACACGATCTATTTTTATCTGCACAAGACCTTCTTGAAGAAGAATTTTAGGATATCGTCTGTCCATAGAAGTTAGTAAGGTGATATTATAGAATATATTTAGATATTTAGGAGGTCTACCAAGATACTTCAGGGGTTCTCCTGTTATTAGAAGACCTTTCTGAAGGTCTACTGTCAGTAAAGGAAAACTTTCGACAGCTGGCATATGGAAGATCTTCTCTTTATATATCGCCATATATCATTTCAAGGAAGTTAAGAGATCTTCTTCAGTCTTAAAAAAATATGGGGTCTTTTATGGACAAAAAACTCATAGATGCTCTTTTGTCGGTCCTTTTTGTTGTAGGAGACCTTCAGAAGGCCTTTCACCCATAGAATATTCAAAAGCTTTTTCTTTCTTTCTATCTTTCTTTCTTCAGAAGTTCTTTGGGAAGATATTCGTCTATAGAATTCTTTCAAATGTCTTTCTTTACATTGATCGTCTTCCATTGGTCGGGTTTTCACTTGAAAAAGGCCTAGAAGATTCAACGGAGACTTTCAATGAGCCATGCGAAGGCCTGAAATGGGTCTTGTGCCTTGAGGAGGCCTACAGGAATACTAAAACACTTTTAGGAATTATTTTGAGCATACAAGACTTTCAGGATTTCCTTTTCTTAGAGAGTATTTTCAAGAGGGTTTCTGTCCATATGGGAGCTTCAGGAGAACTATTTTCCATAGCTGTACTTCACCACGTCACTTTTTTCATAGGACACCCCCAGGTGGGTATAAAAGACCTGCAGGATGTTCTTTTTTTCTTGAGAAAACCTTCAGGAGATATATTTTCCATATTAGCCCTTGTTCTATAGGAGGTCCTTATTCTATAGTATCGCCTGTCCATGGTATACCTGTAATTTGTCTGTGAAAGTACTTCAGAGGGTTTTTTATTTTCTCTCTAGAAGAGTTACCGGAGGTCTCCTATTTATTTCCATTGGAGGAGACTAAAAAAGTCTTCAATGGAAAATGAAAGACCACTAAACAACAGATGACGATTGGAGACCTATTTGGAACAGGAGTAGTTAAAGGTATTAATAAGTAATAGGAGACATTTTAAAATCCTCAATTTCCAACAGGGCACTATTAGAGGTCTTCTATTGCCACTAGGAGACTGTTAAAGATCTTTTATTGCTGATTGCTAAACGTCTGTCGTCAAGTCCTTTTACTTTACTATTTTTGAGCTGGAAGTCCTCCACGGTTATGGTACTTGAGGTCTTCTAATAAAGCGCGTCCAATAGCGTGTCCTTGAGGTCCTTTAAATCGGAAATTGTTCCTTAAAGTCCTTTAAGTTCACGATTCTAGTCGTTTAGGTCATCGAAATCCACGATTTTGTTCGATGAGATCCTTAAAATCTCCAACTGTTATCCTTGATGTCCTTTGAAGGCACACTTTTGGTCTTTATGGTCCTTTTAATCTACAACTTTGGTATTTGATGTCCTCTAAATCTACGATTTTGGTTCTTGAGGTCCTTTATATCCGAAATTGTGGTTCTTAAGTTCATTCAAATTGATCGTTGAAGCCCTTTAAATCTATTAGTCCTTGAATTGCTTTACATCCGGTCCTTTAAAAACCGCCATTTTTCCCTTAAGGTCGTCTAAACCCACGAATATGTTCCTTGAGCTGCTTTAAATCCGCCATTTCGGTTTTTTTGGGTCCTTTAAATCCTCGATTTTTATCCTTAATGTCTTTTCAATCCCCGATTTTGGTCCTTGAGATCATCTAAACCCACGACTGTGTTCCTTGAGTTGCCTTAAGCCCATCATTTTGATCTTTAAGGTCCTTTAAATCCTCTATTTTAGCCCTGGAAGTCCTGTGAATCTTCACCTTTGGCCCTTGTGTCCTATAAATCCACATATTTTGTGTTTGACATTTTTACCATGAAAATCCTCGAAATCCACTTTTTTGATCCTTGTGGTCCTTTGAGTTCACGATTTTGTATTTAAGGTCCTGCAAATTGCACGTTTTCGGTCCATGAGTTATTTATATCCACCATTTATTGTCAAAAAATCTTTCATATCCACAATTTTGGTCCTTAAGGTCCGCTATACACAAGACTATGTACCTTGAGTTGCTTTAGATCCACCATTTTGGTGTTTGAGGTCCTTTAAATCTTCGATAGTCGTCCTTTGATTGTTAGATTTTGGCCCTTGCGTCTTTAAACCCAGATATTTTGTGCTTGAAATTTTTGTCATGAGAATTCTTTTGGTCCTTCGGGTCATTTAAATCTACAAATTTATTCCTCGGATTCCCCTTCCCGATTGGACCTTTAACGTTCGCTTATAGGTAATAAAATTTCTTTGAAGGTCTCCTTTGTCTGGCCTCCTATATATACCAAATTAGTTTATCACTTTTTCTCTGGAATCGGCACACTGTGCTCCGATCCCCTTCTCAAGTGGTTATTGATAAATGTTTTTAAGGCTGTCCTTTTTTTCATTTCACTCATGATGTTGTCTGACTGTATCCTTCCCCCTTAACTAAATGAAATTAAATGTTTACTTTTACTTGACAAGGCAAAGCAAATGCGTGATGCGTTGTCGAGAGAGAGGAGAGAAGGGGGGAGAGAATAGCCCACATCTCGAAAAAAATCGGCAGGTGTTGGCAAAGAAATTTTCTCATGATTTTGAAGTTGCAAGTTAAACCCACAAAAAAACTGAGGGGAGATTGTTGTTAATACTTAGTGTTCGGTTCAATGTCTGGTTGTGTTGGATGGCTGACTGGATGGCTGAGTGTCTGTCCTGTCCCTTGTGGTTGCTGTGCGTTGTTTTCGTAACTTTAAGGATTACGGAAGAGATGGTGTTTTTTCGTGTTTTCGTATTTCACAACGTAATGTTGTGACTATCCTCGTTGCAATAAAAACAACAACAACAACATTTTGTGTTGTTAAATATTAATTTGAGATCCCTTGAGAGGATATGGCTTTTTGCTGCTATGTTTCCGTGGGAAACAGAGTTTTCTCAACATTCCCACGCATTCGAAACACTCGAAAATTATATGATGTCCTTCCTGCATTGTTATTATCCTGTTGCTGTTAAAACTCCTCAGCTACTGGATATTAATGCAGGAGAGGAGATTGTTTTGTTAGCAAATGTAGGACAATGAGGACAGACTGACTGACAGATAGCATTTAATTTTATCACATTCAAATTGGACAGAACGAAGTGAGGCAGAAACGCAGAAAGAGATGGCGAGGGAGGAAGAGGCCTTTTGGGTTTTAAGGAGCAACAGGAGTTTGGCAACAAGTCAGCATGCTTTTGGTGCTGGGTGATGGCAGTAATTCAGGCGGCAGTGAGAAGAGAGCTATAAGAACAACAACGGCATCATCATGACTTGGATGGATGGTTGGTTGGCTGTCTGTCCGTCCTGGCCTACCATCAATTAATACCTCTTTATTATTATTACTGGACTGAGGCAGGGAAATTTGTTGTAATTTTGTTTTAATGGCAGGGGGTATTTTGTAATGCTGCTACAACATGGAATAACATCATCCTAGGGAGAGACAACTTTGGAGGAGGTGGAGGAGAGTACATTAGCCGTAAATTGTCGCACTTAATGACAAGTGCAACAACTTGGTGTTGGTGTTTTGTTGTCGCCAGTGTTGTTGTTATTACATTTGTTGGCCATGTGACGAAGAAGCTGAAGGGCTGGAGTGTAATGACTCCTGGGGTGGGGTCTTTCCCAGGCTTTCTCACAAACAACAGCCCTTGTCGAAGGCAATGACTGGCTGGCTGCACTTGTTGCAAGATTGATGCTGATGTTATTGTTTTAGTTTTTGTTGTTTATGTTGTTGTTTTAAGATCTTGTGTTAATTGAGTGACTATTTTTAATTGTTGTTATTTGTTTGGCATTTTGTTGTAATTTGGTGTCTGTGTTAAATGGAGAACATTTAGTGTTGTTTG